ACCGCAGTTTGAGTCCTGGACCCAACAGCTCGAAACTCACGCCGGCACATGTGTGTGTGTGTGTGCCCAAGATCCCGAGGGGAGAGTGGAGGATAAGGGATTGTGGTGTGGCCATGCCCCTGGGGAGTGATGTCTCGCTTTCTGTCTCTCTGTCTCTCTCTCTCTCTCTCCAGCAAGTGCATGAACCCTATAGCAAAAATCTCTTAAAAAAATAAAGTCAGTAACATATCCAATATAACCGTTTATAAAGGTCTTATTAAAAAAAAAAAAAAAAAAACTTAAATTTTGCCCATGGCCTAATGTGTAAGGTGGCTAGATCCCACATGGCTGACTCATGGGTTGAGTCCTGGAACCAGAGGCCTGAGAAACATACCAGGCGTGTGTGTGCATGCTCAAAATCCTGAAAAGCCATGAAAGGTGGGGAAAGGATACTTGAGCTTGCTATTCAGAGATGACAGGGGACTTGTCGAAGGTCATACAATTGTGTCCCCTAGATTTTAGCTGGAGTGGAAGGGACATATCAACCGAACTTAAACCATTAGGTTGTTGAGACAGTCATGACGCGTTTTTGCAGAGACAAATACATCATGATTTTTCCAACAACCTAACAATTTGACAAAGGCCCAAGACTAGAACACAGAATGAATGGCCAGGACTTCCTAACACTGGTCTCAATTTTGTTCCCCTGCATGAATGCAGGACACAAATGCCCTCCAATGTGAGGTGAGGAGTCTCAGCTGGGGCAAAAAAACATGGCGGTGGCGGTGGCGGCTTCTGCCTGCCCCCCGCTCCTCTCCCTGACGATTCCCACTTCCTTACCTTCTTCACCGACAGGTCGTGGTCCACGTCGCTGCCCGAATCCTCTTCCGGCTCCTGCTGCTCCTGCAGGTCCTTCATCTTGATCAGCAGCTCTGCTTTGGGGGCCGATGTGCTGTAGTACGTGGAATTGGTGGCCAGGGACACGGCCGCCGGCACGCTCGGCTCCTCCTTCCTGGGTACAGATGGCAGGACGTCAATACGCCGTGACCATGCACACAGAGCCACCCCTCAGACCCGCCCCTGGGCTGTGACCAATCAACACTGGTGCTAACAAAATGCCGACAGCCAGGGAGCCGGGACAGCCAACGGGGGTGGGGGGAAGAGGTGGGGGACGATGCCAGAACCAAAGAGGAAAACCAACACGGCCTAGGGAACACTCATGAAGTCGGTGCAAGTGTAGCTTTGTTTTGTTTTTAAAGATGGCGTGTGCACTGGGACCAGCAGGTGGCGTGGTGGTTAAGGAGGTTAAGGAGCTGGACACTCCCACATGGCTGACTTCTCTGGTCTAATTAAAATAAATGAATGAATAAATAAAATTAAATAAATAATGAAAAAAACCACTTGAGTCGTTATTTAAAAAAAAAAAAAAAGATGGCGTGTGCACGAGGAGACAGAGACAGAGAGAGCGAGAGAGAGAGGAAGCATTCTCCACGAGGTCTTGACACAGCATGATCCTCTCTCCCCACCCCGGCAGCTTTTCGGGATCTGAACCCAGGTCCCCGTGGCGCGTCCAGCACTAGTCTAGTATGCTGGGGACGGTGCCACCTAGGCCAGGACTGGAACGTAGGGTTTAAAACGGGCAAACCACCTGAACAAGTATGAACGTCTCACCATCTCCTCCGGGAGGTGATGGCACAGGCCGCTCCCATGGGAAGCCTGGGGTCAAGGAGGACAGGACGTGGATGCACCTGTAAACGCCATTCCCCAGCTTCCCACTCGGGGCAGCCACATGGCTAGTCATGCCTGAGGCTGAGCTCTCCTCATGGTCTTTCACTGCTGCAGTTTACAGTCACGCCACAGCTGCCAACGACCCAGGCCTGTGCGACCCAGCGTGCATAAACGGCAGGAGAGGTGTCATGCCTATAGGCCTTCGCGGTCAGGTGACGGAAAGTCTGAGGAAGCTTTCAAACTCATGAAAGCAAATGCAGGCCAGTCCCGCGGCCTAGTGGTTAAGGAGCCAGATCCCACGTGGCCATCCCCTGGACTCCACAGCTTGGAAAACATGCCTGATGCGAGTGTGTGTGCTCAAAATCCGAGCAGGATGGAGAAACAGAGAAGGGACTATGTGGCCGTGCCTCAATTAAGAGGAATTTCTCTTTCTTTCCCTCTGGTGAGCAATGTGTCTTTTAGCTTATAAACAAAACAAAAAAATAATTTGTGCAAATATAAAGGATTTTTTAAAGAATTATTTCATTTAACGTTAATTAATTTATTATTTGACCAGAACAGGACAGAGCAAAAGAGAGAGGGGAAGTGAGAAAGCAAGCCACCAGGTCTGGGACCTGAATCGAGGTCGGCCGTGGAAGGCCATGTGGGAGTCCAGTGCCCTTAATCTCCACACCACCTGCTGGCCCTCTAAAAGAATGTTTAAAAAAACTTAGCTCCTTAAAATATATACGGGGGTCTTCAAAGAACTCACGTAAATATGCATATTATGTAAAAGAAAAAAAAAAGTGCATTTCAAAACTGCTTTGCACAAAAATACACTCCTACTGTAATGCCATCCCCCCGTGCATGGTGAAAGCCCCCTGCATCCTCGGGGAAGCCTCATTCCTTTGATGACCAGGTCTGGACCTCTGGGGTGGGGCCATCTCTGCCTTGGACGCCATCCTATGGACACTGGGCAGCAGCCCTGGTATCTACCCATCAGGGGCCTGTAGCCCCCTCCAACCCCACGGTGCCGCTGAGAACGGCTGTGGACACGACCATGTGGCCTCGGGCCAAGGAAGCTCAGAGGCTGCAAATGTCATGGTGCAGTGCCGAGCCCCGAAGGTGTCACTGTCCCCAGGGTCTCAGGAGGTGAACCAAAAAGCCAGAAAGTTCTACGCAGAGGGGAGCCCTTAGGAAGACCTGCCACCCCACAGCAGTCATGAAAACAGACATCAGACGTGCCCCTTCTCCGTGTTTAAGCCTCAGGTGGGGCAGAACCGTGCCACCCGGAAGGCAGGTCTACTCACCTGTCCTCTGTGCTTCTGGGAGAGGGGATTTTGGGCAGCAGCTTCCTCCGCTGCTGAGCTTCCTCCAGGAGATGCTCATCTTTGGGGAAGATGCCCTCCATCAAATCCATGGTGGTTTTGATCTTCCCACTGGGATCTAGGATGTCCGCCAGGGACTTGTCCTTGCCCACGATCTCCCGGGCCAGCTCCTCCGACTTCAGGTCTTCCATAGTCTTCTCTTTGGCCTTCACATAGCTGAGCCCAGGAGGGGAGGGGCAGCCATTGCCCCCCGGGGGCAGATGGGCACTGGGAGGCCGGGCTTGATGCAGGGCCTCGGGCTCGGCACCAGGCCGCGTGTACACGCAGAAGCGAGAGTAGGACTGCTCGGATGTGCTTAGTGTCTTGATCTGGTCACGCTCCAGCCCACTGGGCAGCACGGGCAGCTCGGCGGGCGGCGCCAGGCTCTGGCGGCTCCCCTTGTCCGGCAGGCTCTCCGAATGCACGATCTTGATGGGCACCATCTTCACCGTGGTGTTGTTGTCCATCACCCGCTCGATTCTGCAAGAGAAGGGAACATTCCGCTGGGGATGGAGTGGGCAGCCAGCCCCTGCGGCTGGACGAAGATGGAAGGGGCTCTCCATTCTGCAGGGCACTCGCAGGACCTCTGCTCCACCGCCTGAGGAGAAGGAGCTTCCTCACGGCATGTCCTGGAGGCAGAGGAGGCTGGGAAGCTCCCCGGGATCACTGACTAGGCCTCCTCACCCTCGGCCACCTGTTCCCATTCTCCAACTCGACCACACACCTACAGCGTCTGGCAGGGTCTTCCGGGGGTTCAGTGATGACTATGAGGGTTGGGGATGTCCATAAAGGAGAGAGACAGAGGGAGTAGGAAGACAAGGAGAGAGGGAGAGAGACGGCACCCCAGCAGGGTCTTGCCACGACCCACTCCCAGCGTCAGCGAGCCCTGACCACAGGCAGAGCGCATACCTGGCGTGCACAGGGAGAAATGAACCCAGAACTTTCCTGTGTGGGCCAGCCACCCACAGCATTGCCCCAGGGTTAATATTTACTTCTTCTCTTTTTTTTTTGTTTTAATTTGTCAGAGAGCACATGCACTTGAGGGGAACAGACAGACAGAGAGAAAGAAAGCCTCCCCTACCGTGGGAAACGGCCACAACACAATCCCCTTCTCCAAGTCTCCCTCCTTTCCTACACAAGCACACATACCCAACATACTTCTCAAGCTCCCGGGTCTGGGCCTCGATGGTCCAGCCATGTAGAATCCAGCAGCCTTCGCCACCGAGCCACCAGCTGGCCCGACGTTCATATGCATTTTTATTCCAAAGACCATGCAAACTTTCAGAAGCCTCCGTTAGCAGAGGAAGCTTGCAGGGCACAGGACCTTCTCACAGAGGCCTCAGTGCCTTTGCTAGCTGCCTCTCAAAGCAGGTCCCTGGGTGCTCACTACAAGGTTCTCCTCCCTTGGAGAACACCACTGGGGTAGCTGTCTTTTTTTTATTTTTGGAGAGGTTTTTGCTATAGGGCGTGTGCGCTCGCCAGACAGACAGAGACAGAGAGACAGAAAGCGAGAAATCACCCCCCAGGGGGGATGGTCACACCGCAGTCCCTTCTCCTCCATTCTCCTCTCGGGATCTTGGGCACACACGCACACGTGCCCGGCATGAGTTTTAAGCCACCGGGTCCAGACACAAACTGTGGTTGACCACATGGGAGTCCAGCGACATAGCCATTACGCTAACTGCTGGTCCCTGGGGTGGCTGTCTTTGCTGTCAGCGGGTCCCCACCGCTTCTTCATACGTTAGAAGCTGCTTCATTCACAGCTACCTCATATGCTTGTGTGCACTGACTCACCAAATCCAACAGCCAGAATGACACGACATATAACTTAAAAAAAAAACAAAAAACGTAATGCCAACCACTGTTTTACAAGCAAGGCAGAATAGGAGAGTGGCTTGTATTAACCAATCAGAACTGCAGTTATCATCTTTTATTTGCCTGGAAATAGCCAATGGGAGTGCAGCTCACATTACCCAATCAGAAACATGTATTTTCAATCCTTCATTTGCATAAAAGTGGCTCCAGGAGACTGTGTGTGGGACCATCGAGGGCCAGTACATTTTTTGGGGGGAGTGAGGCCCAAGACTCTTACTTGTAAAAGTAAGAAAACTGCCTGACCTAGCAGTCTTGGTTGCATTATTTGCTGTGCCCTCAAAAGGCAGACCCACCTGTTTCCCTCCTCCTTCCCTGTCCCGCGGCTCTTGGCACTAACTTTCATACCTGTGAGGTAAGAATCCCTGCGGTCTGCAGGGAACTCACCAGTTCTGTATGATTCTTAGGGACTCACGTGGGGCACTCAACTCTTTTATAAAAAAAGGCTTCTTTGTAATCTTTGTGAAAGGAGCCGGAGCTGGGAAGGCACCCACAGGGAATAGAGAAACGGAATGATCCTCCCAGCAGAGGCTACAGTGCCTCCTGCGACAGTGATATCCCAAACCTGCTGCTTCGGTTGCAGCACACTGAGCTAGCTACACAGGCAGACTGCAGATGAGGGCGGCTGGACCAAGCTCTCTCCAAACCATTTCTGGAGAGAGTGCGCCATCTGCTGGTTCCCAGGAGAGAAGAAAAAAGAGAAAAATAAAGCCAAACATGCATACCCAGGATGTGCTGGAAATCGCTTGTGCACAAATACGCCAGGCTTCCCAAGGTACAGAGGGGAGCTGGGGTACTCTAAAGATCATTGTGGTTTTTTTTTTTTTTTCGGAGAAGTTTTTGCTATAGCGTGTGTACACTCACCAGACAAACAGAGAGAGATGGAGAGACAGAAAGCGAGAAATCATCCCCCAGGGGGGATGGCCACGCCGCAATCCCTTCTCCTCCATTCTCTTCCTGGGATCTTGGGCACGCACGCACACGCGCCCGGCGTGAGTTTAAGCCATTGGGTCCGGGACTCGAACCACGGTCGACTACATGGGAGTCCAGCGACATAGCCATTACACTAACTGCTGGTCCCTAAAGACCGGTTTTTACCCTTTAACTGCTGACCTGAACACAGGATGGGTCTTGCCAGTGAAGGAACGCAGAACAGAACAAAGTAAACCACAAAACCAAACCTTCCACAGGTTAACGAACGTACGCTTTCCAACAAAATGCCAATTCTTGATCACCTCTTTCTTCTTGGTCCCTTTTAAGGCTTTTGCCATAGGGTGCATGCACTGGCTGGAGACAGAGAAGGAAAGTGAGAACTCACCCGCCGAGGGAAGGCCCCACCACGATCCCTTCCACTCCATTTTCCTGCCAGGATTTTGGGGGTGGGACTTGTACTGCAGACAGCTATGTGGAAATCCAGCACCTTAACCACCATGCCACCTGCCAGACTTCCGGTCATTTCTAAACACAAATAGTGTACGTTCTTTAAAACCATCAGACTTCCACAGCCAGCAGATGGCGTAGGGGTTACATCGCTGGACTCCCACGAGGCCGACCATGGTGCAAGTTCCATACCTGGTGGCTTCAAACTCACACAAGGTACATGTGTGTGCATGCCCAAGATCCCAGGAGGAGAATATGAGAAGAAAGGATGGTGGCATGGCCACCCCCTGGGGAGTAATTTCTCGCTTTCGATCTGTCTCTCTGGTGAGTAAACGTGCCCTATAGCAAAAATCTCTTCCCCAAAAAAACAGCCCCCAATAATGGCTATGTCACTGGATTCCCACGTAAATGGGCACGATCTTCAAACTGCTGGGGGTGGGACTTGTACTGCAGACAGCAATGTGGAAATCCAGCACCTTAACCACCATGCCACCTGCCAGACTTCCGGTCATTTCTAAACACAAATAGTGTACGTTCTTTAAAACCATCAGACTTCCACAGCCAGCAGATGGCGTAGGGGTTACATCGCTGGACTCCCACGAGGCCGACCATGGTGCAAGTTCCATACCTGGTGGCTTCAAACTCACACAAGGTACATGTGTGTGCATGCCCAAGATCCCAGGAGGAGAATATGAGAAGAAAGGATGGTGGCATGGCCACCCCCTGGGGAGTAATTTCTCGCTTTCGATCTGTCTCTCTGGTGAGTAAACGTGCCCTATAGCAAAAATCTCTTCCCCAAAAAAACAGCCCCCAATAATGGCTATGTCACTGGATTCCCACGTAGTCAACTGCGGTTCGCGTCCCGGACCCAGTGGCTTAAAATTCATGCCGGGGTGCATGTGCGTGCGTGCCCAAGATCCCGAGAGGAGAACGGAGGGGGGCTGCGGCGTCGCCATCCCCCCTGGGGGGTGATTTCTCTCTTTCTGTCTCTCTGTCTCTGTCTGTCTGGCGAGCGCACGCACCTGGTACCAAAAACCTCTCAATAAAAAAAAAAAAAAAAAAAAAAACAAAACAGCCCCCAGACTTTAACATATACAATTCCACAGTGATTCAGACCTTATGTGACCAAGTCTTGGCAATTCCTGACTGAAAGGCCGGACTGGGAAAAGACACCAAAGGTGTGCGCTGTGCCAAGCCCCGGCCTACCTGCCTTGCCATGGCTCCGCACAGGTGGCAGCCTCGTCCCTGGGCTTCCAGAACTAAACGCCTTACTCACAAGACTCACAATCACTGACAGTAGAGCCGACGGTCAACGTGTCAGAGGACCCAGGAGCAGCCTGGGCCTTGTGTTCAGGCAGGCACACTCCCAAACACAGGAATAGCCTCCTGTCGGCCAGATGGCGGGGCAGCCACAGCGGGTCTACACTCAGCTGGGGCAGTCCGGGTTCCCATCCTGGGGCCTCCCTATAAATACTGCACATGTGAGGCTGAGCCAGAGATCTGGGTGGCTGGAGTTGGGGCTGCCTCGTGGTGTGAGGCACTGCTGGTGGGGATGGCTGTCTCTTTCTCTTGGTCTCTGTCTGTCTCTCATAAAAGAAAGAAACAGGGACCAGCAGATGGCGTACTAGTTACGTCACTGGACTCCCACATAGTCGACCATGGCTCACGTCCTGGACCCAGAGGCTTAAAATTCACAATGGGCACGTGTGCGTGCATGTCCAAAATCCCAAGAGAAGACGGGAGGAGAAGGGATTGCGGTGTGGCCATCCCCTGGCCCAGGAAGGGTGTGTGTAGAATTTCTTGTCTCTCTGTGTCTCCAGCAAGTGCACGCACTCTATAGCAAAAATCTTACCAAAAAGAAGGGAAGAAAAGGCCAGGTTCATGTCCCAGGATCTCCCTATGCATGCTCCCTTGACACACCCACGATCAAGGCTGCCTAAGACTGGGGTGTTCTCAGCATAAAGACGTGTTCAGAGTACGCATCTCTATCTCTCTCATAGATAAAACTGTTAAAACTTTAAAAAACTAAGGCGAGGGGGAACCAGCAGTTAGCGTAATGGCTATGTCGCTGGACTCCCACGTAGTCGACCACGGTTCGTGTCCCAGACCCCGTGGCTTAAAACCCACGCAGGGCACGTGTGCGTGCATGCCCAAGATCCCGAGAGGAGAATGGAGGAGAAGGGATTGCGGCATGGCCATCCCCCTGGGGGGTGACTTCTCGCTTTCTGTCTCTCTGTCTCTTTCTGTCTGGTGAGCCCAGTGCACTATAGTGAAAAACCTCCCCCCCCCAAAAAAAAACTAAGGCAAGGCAGTGGCATGGGGATTAAAGTGGCTGGTTCCCACACAGTTGACTGTGTGGTTCAAGTCCTGGACCCGGCAGCTTGAAAATCATGGGACGTGGTTACCTAAAATCCCTAGAGGAGGATGGAGAAGGGAGTATGGCATGGCCATCCCCTCTGAGAGAGGAGGGATTTCTTACTTTTCCTCCCTCTCTCTCTGTCTCTGT